CGGTTCGCTCACTGGCTGAGCGTGGTGCTGACAACACCAAGCCAAGGGTTAAGATCCCCTTACCGGTCATCTTTAAAAAAAAAAAAAAAGTGGTAGCCATGAAGCCAACTGCCTATAAATTAAATTAACATCCTCATAAATGTTATCAAAAAACAAGTAACATCATTCGCACTCATGGTACTCCATAATTTTTATAGGATCTATGAATGCTCACCTAATTTTTCCTTTATAAACAAACACCTTCAGCACTGAAAAAATGAAGAGTGGCTCCATTTTTACATCTGCCTCTCGGGAACTTCAAATATAACATCAGGCAGTAGTAAAACCAAGAAAACAAAGAAAACAATTCCAGTAAGTTCCCTACCTATTCTTCTAAAAACAATAAAATTATAGTTGCTTTAACTCTGGAGATATTTTTATTCGCCCAACATACATATTAAAAATAAACCATTTCACTTATAAAACACTATTTGGAAAAACAAATAAGAATTTGGTATATTCAAAGAAAAAAAGCTGATACATAAACAGCATTAAATTCCAAAATAGGGTTCACATAACTATTTCAAGAACAAGAGCTCGATCTTATTTTTTTCACCTCAAAACAGCCATGCCTCAGTAACTCCTAAGTTATACACTGTCATTTTAAAATGTGAGCCCTACACAAATCACATTAGTTAGAAACTCTGATAGAATCTGAGATTACCCCACTCCATTAACAACTCAATGGAACTCAAGATTAGGTGAAATGAATTATTTTTGACAATTTTTCTGAAAAATCTCAATTTCCATTTGCAAAACTAAATGGAAAGACTTAAAATTCTAGAAAAGAGATTTAAAAAATATATATTCTTTCCATACAAGCTCTCTCTTTCCATCCTCCTTCCTCCCCTCCTCCCATTTCCTCTCTCTGTACAGTCTCTCCATCTCTCCTATTTCTCTCTCTCCCCCTATTTCCCTGTCTCTCTCTCTTTCCCTCCTCCTTGCCTCCGCATAATCTCCCCTTTCCCCATTCCCTATATTCCTGATATTACAATGAAGATTAGACAGCATTCTCTCTCCAATCTGTTCCCCTTCTGGGCTGTGAGACACATATGCAGCTGCCCACTGTCATCTTCATCTGGCAGCTGAATTTCATTCTTCTGTTTCCCAGCAGTTCTCCTCCCTGCAACCCTGTTCTCGGTTAACTGTACTCTGCAGGCTCCCCAGCCTGCCACCTCAGAGGCGGCACTGACTGCTCACTCCCACTACCCCCATCACCTGAGTGGTTCTCCACTCAGCTCAGGCCTTCATCATCTTTCACTTGCACCACTCAGTTCTCCCTGCCTCCAATCCAACCTGTCTGTGCTCCACGCTGCCCCCAGAGTCAGCTTTCTTAAACACACCTATAATCGTGTCACTCCCTTGATTAAAATTGTTGCTCCTCCTCAACACCTAAAGAATCAACTCTAAATTTCTTTTTTTTTTTGGTCTTTTATCTTTTTCCGTGTCTGGCAACGGATCGCAACCCCCGTACCGGACCGGAGACCGGCAACGGGATTGCAACCCTTGGTGCTGCTCCCCTGCCTTGCTCAGCCAGTGAGCAGGTGTCTTTTATCTTTTTCCGTGTCCGGCAACGGATCGCAACCCCCGTACCGGACCGGGGACCGGCAACGGGATTGCAACCCTTGGTGCTGCTCCCCTGCCTTGCTCAGCCAGTGAGCAGGAACCGGTCTGTACGTGGGATCCGAACCCTCGGGCGGGAGCGCCGCTGCGCTTCCCAAGCGGCGCACTTATCCAGTGCGCCACCGGGCCGGCCCAACTCTAAATTTCTTAGCATGGCTAAGGGCATCAAAAGCCCTCCGAAATTTGACTCGTACTTCTACTTCTAGACTCAGTCATAGTCACTAGCCCATTGGCACCATTTTACCAGTCACTGAATTTGAAATTCCCACAATACGCTAAGCTCCTTCACACCTACATACATTTTCATAAGCTCTTCCCTCTACTTTAAATGATCTTCCTCCCCTTCTTTGTCTTATCACCTCTACTTGCCCTTTAAGATCTAATGCAATGCTGGGTAGCTCAGTTGCTTAGAGTGTGGTGCTGATAACACCAAGGTCCAGGATTCAATCCCTGTACCAGCCAGCTGCCAAAAAAAAAGGAAAAAATTCTAATGAAAACATCATCCATGGCAAACTCTCCCTGAATTCCTACAGCAGTCCACTGCTTCTTCCTCCATGCTCTCAAAGTCCTTGAAACAGTTATTGTCATACAAATAAACTTGTAGCAATGGAAGAAATTACAAGTGATAGTAAAAGAATATGGAAAAATAGGACAGTCTTAATGGATTAATTCAAATCAGAATGTTTAACTAGTTGTATGTTTTACTTACTTTTGTGGAGTCAAAAGAGGCAAATCCCATTAACTTCATCATTTCTATTTCTTCCTCCGTTTTCCCCTCTAAATCTTCCTCTGCAAAAATAAATGATTTTTTTAAACTCTAATTTATATACGTATACACACATACATACACACAACATAATGAGATGTGGCAACAGATTAATAGTCATTCCACCTCACCAGCAGAGCACACACAAAACGATTAGCTAAAGACAAGTCTAATGTAAAAATTCCTCTTAAATTTGGACAGAATGTAACTTAGGGTGGAAGAAAGGATTCTGCTCTCCTCGGAGCCTTTAGGCAGGTCCACCTTTAGTATTACATGTATAACGCCATCTATCTAGTTTTAAAGATACTTCCAAAATAGAACAGTCTCATGTTTTTAACTACCCTCCCTAGATTATATCAGGAGCACCACAGATAACCAGCAACTCAGTAAGGTACAATTAAAACCCTCAAAATCATATGCAATAAACACTATAAAAAGCCTAATATTTAAATGTTCAAAAATTATACTTCTATAATTTTATCATGATGGAAATTATCTAAACAAGGCTGTATTTTTCCTACAGTTATTTATCTAATAACATTACCAGTAATCTGACGTTCTTTGCTTTTTGTTTCTTTTGTTTCTTTCTTTTCCTCATCTCTTCTTTCTTTCAGTCGAGAAGGGGAAGGAGATGTGGATCTATGTCGTCTTGGAGATCTAATATTCATTAAGTAAAGATGTTAGAAACAGATATAATGGCGACTTTGTGTCGATCAGCACAGATATACATGAGTCCCTGAAAAGTGAAGGCAGAACACAAGCCAGACTCCAGAGAACCAGGAGTCCCTTCCCCATAGCAGAGCAAGGAAGAAGGTTCTGCCTAGGCTCTCGTTAACAAAAAAATAAAAAATACGGTTTATTGCTTAATCACTGCTTAATGGTCAGTTGCACTCAATACAGCTATGGCTAGAAAGTTTTGTGAGACAAAAATCTAACTTAAAAGTTTCTAATAATTATACACAAGGAGCTGATTTAAACAGCAATTGATGCTTATTAAGAATCAGAGTTCGGGCTGACCAGTTATTCAAGTGGTTAGAGCAGGTGTTGTTAACAGCAAGGTCAAGGGTTTGGAACCCCCCTACAATCCAGCTGCCGGAAATTTTAAAAAAGAATCAGTTCATTTCTAAGGTTCTTCTAAGATCTCACACTCTTGATTATATACTTGAATAAATCCTTATCACCAAAAAGTTAAAAAAAAGCAAAAAATGCAAAACACTTATTTCTTACTCTTGCTAAGCACCATTCTAAGTGGTTTTTATGCATTACTTCTCATTTACTCCTCAAGACAACTTTATGATGTTGAGAGCGTTATTAACCCCATTTTACCAAGGAAAATGTCAGCTCCAGAATAAGGTGGGATTAAGTTTCCCCCATTTCAGGAAACTGTAAATTCCCTCGTAATTGAGCAACACAAAGTCGCCGGCTGCGACCAGTTTCCCTGAGACTTGTAAAACTTCCAGCTTATCTTCTGCACTTACCTGGAGCGTCTTCGGTGCGGGGATCGCGAGCGGCTCCTCCTCCGCTCCCTGTCCCGCGATCGCGACCGTTCTCTGCGCCTGCGATCTCTCTCCCGGGAGGTGGACCGGGACCGCCTACGTTCTAAGACAAACACACAGAACTGGAGAGCCAGAAATCACCTCAAATATCCAGAGCTGACCCGCCCAACCGAAATACAAAGCGAGCCATTTCTAGTGGTCACATAAAAACGTACAAAGAAACAGGAGGAATCAATTTCATTAATGTTATCTGATCCAATATACCCAATACTACGACTTCCACATGTAATCAATATAAAAATTCATTAGTAAGATACTTTACATTCTCTCTTTTATTTTTGGTACGAAATCAAGGAAATCCAGTGTGTATACTATGCGTACAGCACTTCTCAGTTTGGATGAGCCACATTTCAAGTTCTCGCGTTAACTTTGAAGAAAATCGAGCCTTGACTAGTTGTAAGTGACAGAAAGTAGCCAGGGCCGAACCGAGGGTCTAAGTTAGGTCTCCTGAGCCTCACCTCGCACTACCTCATTCGTGGCGCTGGAGGCCAGAAGACATTACAAGGGGAGCTCCCCGGGCTCAGAACTCCATTTCCCTAATTTACACCCGGGGCAAGCGCGCCCGGGGAGGCGTGATCCTCGCGCCCCTCCTCCCACCCCTCGCCCCCTGCCTCTCTCCATCCGGCTCCCCTGTAACGTCCTTCATAATAAATGGGTAAACGTGAGAAATAAATGAGTAAATAAACTAGTCAGGAAACTAACACTGAGCATCTAAGAGCTAGGCATCATCACATACTGAGTATTATGGGATGTGACATCTATTCTCACATCAGTTTTTAAGGGTAGATAATATTACCCTAAAAGACGAATTATGGAAATTTAACTCAGAAAGGTTAGGTGACTTGCCCACGGTCACCCAGAAAGTAAGTGAAGGAACTGTGGTTTGATTCTAAACCCACTGGCCACAGGTATAGTAACACTTATTGTATGAAGCTGACAAAGAGTAGGCGAAACCCTAATTCAGAAGGGGAAAAAAAAAAAAAATAACAACAAAAAATGGCCTTGGGCCCAGAGAGCCCGGACTGAAGAGTGTAGGGCCCAGGTCTTCGTGCCCCCCATTCGCCCCTCGCTTTCCTCCTCGGGAGAAAAGGGCCCCCTTGTCCGCTGCCCTGGTACTGAAAGCAAAGGGACGCGCGCCCAACCGAGCCCCAGGCCCTCTGCATTGCTTCTGGACTCACCCCTGCGTGGGGAGCGACTGCGACTGCGACCCATTCGGAGTCCTGCTCCTTCTCACACCGCCCCGGAAACGACTGTGCAGCAACTTCCGGGAGAGCCAGGAACTGAACTTATGCCACCGACTGGAAAATGTCGAAATGAGCCGCGAGGGTTCCGGCTCCTAAATAAGGAAGGCTGCGCTGAGCCGGCCCAGAACCACGTGGCCTCGACCGGATGCCTCCGCCTCTGGTTCCAGGGACTCCGGCAGGAGCGGGCATCCTCCATACCACCCTTTGCGGTGGCTTCCCCATCTTATGTGTCCACAGTGGGCACTAAAATATGCTATTTGAGGGCCAGCCTGTGGCTCACTGGGTGAGCGTGGTGCTGACAACACCAAGCCAACGGTTAAGATCCCCTTACCGGTCATCTTTTTTAAAAAAAAAAATGCTATTTGATGTTATAGACGTAGAAATGTCTGGAAAATTTAGCCGTCTACCCACCTCAACACAGCCTTCGTTTTTTCCACCATTTTTCTTTCCAGTTCTTGTCCAAATGTGTAAAATAATTTACATCAAACCAATTCTTAACGTCGCATACACAGATAGTTTATATTTTTGACTTTCTCACATAACATTCTCTCATGGGAATGAATATACCAAAGTTAGCCGTCTGCCTTATGCTTCTCAGATGCCAGCATTGAGAAGGCACCCAAAAACTACTATGGGCTCTTGGAAGGAACAGTAAAAGGCCTTGCATTCCACTTTACACCCCCACCCCCGCGCCCAGAGTACTTCCCCGAAGCTGCTTCACTCCTCAAAATAAAAGGCTTTAGAATGTTCAAAAACTACAGAAGCGAGGAGAAAGACTCTCTTGCCCCAACAAGGCTGAACCTTCTGTGGCAGAAATAAATATGCATATCAGTTAAGACTTGATCTATTTCTATTGGAACCAACTATTTTCCGCCAGCTCTCTCCAGAGTTACCAAGTCTAGTGACCCGGCTTTTACTTTTACAATACGAAGAGCTGGGAAGGGACTAGATTAGGTTGGAAACACCCTGCCCACCAGTCAACAAATTTTTTATTATATTCATACATTCTGATGTGGCCTCTTTAATACCTGTCCCAATGTAACTTTCCAGAAAGGAACCAGCCATGATATCTAAGATTTCCACCACCATGCCTAACCCCAGACTCCTTTGGAATTATCCTGGCAGAGAGTGCACTAAGGTGTGGAAGGTGGAGTTTCAAGAGGGTGCCAAGTTCCGGGGAGGAAGATTTAGGGATATCTCTGGAGAAACACACCGAGACCGCCTACATTCTAACACAAACACACAGAACTGGAGAGCCAAGACTGAAGAAAGTGTCCATAGAGAAGATAGGGAAATTATGGGAAGCCTAAGGGGCTGTGCACTAGAGGTGTAAGAGTAGAGAGGAACACGGTGGCCTCAGGTGGTAGCTGAAAATATTTTTCTTTTTTTGTGAGGCCTGGGGTCTCATCTAATGAAAACACTTTTCAAGAAAACCCTGCAGGACTTCCAAAAATGGTTGGGCGATATGCTGGAGGTCAGTTGAATAAACCAACGTTTTTTGAATGCCTACTATGTGTAGGACACTATACCACTTTGGCACTGGGATGAAAAGATGGATAAGACATGGTCCCTACCTCAAGGAGCTTACAATGTAGTTATGGAGGCAGACAGATGAAGAGACACTTTTACCACAATGTGGTAAGATAAGATGAGTACAGTGTGCTATAGAAACATGAAAGAAGGATATTCAGCCTAATTTGGTATCCCAAGAGGATTTCTTATAATAATAATAGCTAATACACACTGTGCTAACTATATGCCAGGAACTGTTGTAACATAAAAATGAATATGTATACATACACATACATTTTTACAGTCGTGTGCCACATAATGACATTTTGGTCAACAATGGATTACATATACGATGGTGGTCCCACAAGATTATGATGGCTATACTGTCTAGTTTTGTGTAAGTACATTCTATGATGTTTACAAAGTGATGAAATTGCCTGACATATTTCTCAGAACAAATTCCACTTGTGTGTAGTTGACTGTAGTTGACACATGACTGTAGTTGAACCCCGAAGCTCAAAGGATAAGTTGTCCAGGTAAAGGGTAAAAGTAGCAGCAAAGGCACAGCGGTGTGTCACACTATGGCGTATGCAAGCTCTGTAAGAGGTTTGATGTTATCATCACATTGAGTTCACCAGGGATCCGAAGCTCAAAGGATAAGTTGTCCAGGTAAAGGGTAAGAGTAGCAGCAAAGGCACAGCGGTGTGTCACGCTATGGCGTATGCAAGCTCTGTAAGAGGTTTGATGTTATCATCACATTGAGTTCACCAGGGAAGACCATACTAAGTCCCTGGGACTTTAAGGTGACAAGAGGCCAGTGGAGCATTTTAAACTGGGCAGTGACGTGACCAGATTTGTGTTTTATATGGTTCATCTGGCTGCCAGATGTAAAGACTAGAGCCAGAGAGAACAGATGGAGGGAATGAGGACGTGCACTAAAGAACAGAATCAGGAAACAGTTGAGGAGTAGTGTGGCAGGTCTTGGTGGCTGGCAGTGGGAAGAGAGAGAAAAAATGACCTCCAGGCTGGTCCAGCTTCACGGACACATGACCTGTGCAGTCGCACAGGGTCCTGCATTTAGAAGGGCCCCGTGCTTGGCTTAATGTTCAGCTGTAGCCACCTTGAAATCCTTACTAAATTCTGAACAGGAGATCCTGTTTCACTGGGCCTGGCAAAAAGTATATCCCTCTTAGTGATGCTTACTAAAGTGAAAAAGGGAGGGTCTGTCTGTTCACTACACAACTGAAACATGATGGGAGAGCCCATTTGGGAGACATATGGAGAAAGCATCGAAAGCGTGGTCCCTTTTTTGTGTGAGGGCTCCTCTGTCAAGGAATAATATGGGCCCTTTCCTGCCCTCAGATCCCCCCTCATCAATTAAGTGGGACTCTTTTTTGTATATTTGCTCTGAAGAGAACCTGGTCACACTCCTGCTTGTGGTGGAGAGGGAGAATATGAATTCTATTTTGGAAAACTATCAAATATGACATACCTGACGAATATCTAAATAGAATTTTTGGCAGGCAT